CCAGGTAGCCTCTAGCAGGGCTGTAGGGGCAAGTGCTGAGACACAGACAAAGCTCCCCCAGGTAGCCTCTAGCAGGGCTGTAGGGGCAAGTGCTGAGACACAGACAAAGCTCCCCCAGGTAGCCTCTAGCAGGGCTGTAGGGGCAAGTGGTGAGACACAGACAAAGCTCCCCCAGGTAGCCTCTGGCAGGGCTGCAGGGGCCAGTGGTGAGACACAGACAAAGCTCCCCCAGGTAGCCTCTAGCAGGGCTGTAGGGGCAAGTGCTGAGACACAGACAAAGCTCCCCCAGGTAGCCTCTAGCAGGGCTGCAGGGGCAAGTGCTGAGACACGGACAAAGCTCCCCCAGGTAGCCTCTGGCAGAGCTGTAGGGGCAAGTGCTGAGACACAGACAAAGCTCCCCCAGGTAGCCTCTAGCAGGGCTGCAGGGGCAAGCGGTGAGGCACACACAGAGACAAAGCTCCCCCAGGTAGCCTCTGGCAGGGCTGCAGGGGCAAGCGGTGAGGCACACACAGAGACAAAGCTCCCCCAGGTAGCCTCTAGCAGGGCTGCAGAGGCAAGTGGTGAGGCACAGACAAAGCTCCCCCAGGTAGCCTCTGGCAGGGCTGCAGGGACAAGCGGTGAGGCACACACAGAGACAAAGCTCCCCCAGGTAGCCTCTAGCAGGGCTGCAGGGGCAAGTGCTGAGACACACAGAGACAAAGCTCCCCCAGGTAGCCTCCGGCAGGGCTGCAGGGACAAGCGGTGAGGCACACACAGAGACAAAGCTCCCCCAGGTAGCCTCCGGCAGGGCTGCAGGGGCAAGCGGTGAGGCACACACAGAGACAAAGCTCCCCCAGGTAGCCCCCCGCGCGTACCCTTGAAGAGCGTGGACCCCCCCGAGAGCACCACGTTCTTGTAGAGGGTGCGACGGAGGTCCAGGTCCGACTTGTGGATGGAGTAGCACAGCACCTCGTGGAGGCCCTCACAGTCCTCCCCAACCAAGTCAGGTCGCAGGAGGAGCTCAGGAGCACGGAATCTGGAAGGGCCAATCTGGTGGTGGTGGTGGTGAGGGTGGGGGTGGTGGTGGTGAGGGTGGTGAGGGTGGTGGTGGTGGTGGTGGTGATGGTGGTGGTGGTGGTGGTGGTGGTGATGGTGGTGGTGAGGGTGGTGGTGGTGGTGGTGGTGAGGGTGGTGGTGGTGGTGGTGGTGATGGTGGTGGTGGTGGTGGTGAGGGTGGTGGTGGTGGTGGTGAGGGTGGTGGGGGTGGTGGTGGTGGTGGGGGTGGTGGTGGTGGTGGTGAGGGTGGTGGGGGTGGTGGTGAGTGTGGTGGTGGTGATGGTGGTGGTGGTGGGGGTAGAGGGGGGTGGTGGTGAGGGTGGTGGTGGTGGTGGTGGTGGTGGTGATGGTGGTGGTGGTGGTGGTGGTGGTGGTGGTGGTGGTGGTGAGGGTGGTGGTGGTGGTGGTGGTGAGGGTGGTGGTGGTGGTGGTGGTGATGGTGGTGGTGGTGGTGGTGAGGGTGGTGGTGGTGGTGGTGAGGGTGGTGGGGGTGGTGGTGGTGGTGGGGGGGGTGGTGGTGGGGGTGGGGGTGGGGGGGGTGGTGGTGAGTGTGGTGGTGGTGATGGTGGTGGTGGTGGGGGTAGAGGGGGGTGGTGGTGAGGGTGGTGGTGGTGGTGGTGGGGGTGGGGGTGGTGGTGAGGGTGGTGGTGGGGGTGGGGGTGGGGGTGGTGATGGTGGTGGTGGTGAGGGTGGTGGTGGTGGTGGTGGGAGTGAGGGTGGTGGTGGTGAGTGTGGTGGTGGTGGTGGTGGGGGTGGTGGTGGTGGGAGTGAGGGTGGTGGTGGTGGTGGTGAGTGTGGTGGTGGTGATGGTGGTGATGGTGGGGGTGGTGAGGGTGGTGGTGGTGGGGGTAGAGGGGGGTGGTGGTGAGGGTGGTGGTGGTGGTGGTGGGGGTAGAGGGGGGTGGTGGTGAGGGTGGTGGTGGTGGTGGTGGGGGTGGTGGTGGTGGTGTGGGTGGTGGTGGTGGTGGTGGGAGTGTGGGTGGTGGTGGTGAGTGTGGTGGTGGTGGTGGTGGGGGTGGTGGTGGTGGGAGTGAGGGTGGTGGTGGTGGTGGTGAGTGTGGTGGTGGTGATGGTGGTGGTGGTGAGGGTGGTGGTGGTGGTGGTGGTGGGGGTAGAGGGGGGTGGTGGTGAGGGTGGTGGTGGTGGTGAGTGTGGTGGTGGTGAGGGTGGTGGTGGTGGTGGTGATGGTGGTGGTGGTGAGGGTGGTGGTGGTGGTGAGTGTGGTGGTGGTGAGGGTGGTGGTGGTGGTGGGGGTGGTGGTGGTGGGGGTAGAGGGGGGTGGTGAGGGTGGTGGTGGTGGTGGGGGTGGTGGTGGTGGTGGTTGTGGTTGTGGGGGTGGTGGTGGTGGTGGTGAGGGTGGTGGTGGTGAGGGTGGTGGTGGTGAGGGTGGTGGTGAGGGTGGTGGGGGTGGTGGTGGTGGTGGTGGTGGTGAGGGTGGTGGTGGGGGTAGAGGGGGGTGGTGGGAGTCATTTGTAGTGTGTAGTGTAGTGTGTGTGTAGTGTGTGTGTAGTGTGCGTGTGTGTAGTGTGTGTGTGTAGTGTGTGTGTGTAGTGTGTGTAATGTATGTGTGTAGTGTGTGTAGTGTGTGTGTAGCATGTGAGTAGTGTGTGCAGTGTGTGTGGTGTGTGTATAGTGCGTAGTGTGTGTGTATAGTGTAGTGTGTGTGGTGTGTGTGTAGTGTGTGTGTAGTGTGTGTGTGTAGTGTGTGTGTAGTGTGTGTGTAGTGTGTGTGTAGTGTGTGTGTAGTGTGGTGTGTGTGTAGCGTGTGTGTGTAGTGTGTGTGTAGTGTGTAGTGTAGTGTGTGTAGTGTGTGTGTAGTGTGTGTGTGTAGTGTGTGTGTGTAGTGTGTGTGTGTGTAGTGTGTGTGTGTAGTGTGTGTGTAGTGTGTGTGTAGTGTGTGTGTGTAGTGTGTGTGTGTAGTGTGTGTGTAGTGTGTGTGTGTGTAGTGTGTGTGTGTGGTGTGTGTGTAGTGTGTGTGTAGTGTGGTGTGTGTGTAGCGTGTGTGTGTAGTGTGTGTGTAGTGTGTGTGTAGTGTGTGTGTAGTGTGTGTGTAGTGTGTGTGTAGTGTGTGTGTAGTGTGTAGTGTGTGTGGTTTGTGTGTAGTGTGTGTGTAGTGTGTGTGTGTAGTGTGTGTGTGTGTAGTGTGTGTGTGTGTAGTCTGTGTGTAGTGTAGTGTGTGTAGTGTGTGTGTAGTGTGTAGTGTGTGTGTGTAGTGTGTGTGTAGTGTGTGTGTAGTGTGTGTAGTGTGTGTGTGTAGTGTGTGTGTAGTGTGTGTAGTGTAGTGTGTGTAGTATAGTGTGTGGTGTGTAGTATGTGTGTAGTGTGTGTGTAGTGTAGTGTGTGTGTAGTGTGTGTGTAGTGTGTGTGTAGTGTGTGTGGTGTGTGTGTAGTGTGTGTGTGATGTGTGTGTGATGTGTGTGTGATGTGTGTGTGTAGTGTGTGTGTAGTGTGTGTAGTGTGTGTGTAGTGTGTGTGTAGTGTAGTGTGTGTGTAGTGTGTGTAGTGTGTGTGTAGTGTGTGTGTAGTGTGTGTGTGTAGTGTGTGTGTAGTGTGTGGAGTGTGTGTGTAGTGTGTGTGTAGTGTGGTGTGTGTGTAGCGTGTGTGTGTAGTGTGTAGTGTAGTGTGTGTAGTGTGTGTGTGTAGTGTGTGTGTGTAGTGTGTGTGTAGTGTGTGTGTGTAGTGTGTGTGTAGTGTGTGTGTGTGTAGTGTGTGTGTGTGTGTAGTGTGTGTAGTGTGTGTGTAGTGTGTGTGTAGTGTGTGTGTAGTATGTGTGTAGTGTGGTGTGTGTGTAGCGTGTGTGTGGAGTGTGTGTGTAGTGTGTGTGTAGTGTGTGTGTAGTGTGTGTGTAGTGTGTGTGTAGTGTGTGTAGTGTAGTGTGTAGTGTGTGTGGTGTGTGTGTAGTGTGTGTGTGTGTAGTGTGTGTGTGTAGTGTGTGTGTGTGTAGTGTGTGTAGTGTGTGTGTAGTGTGTGTGTGTAGTGTGTGTGTGTAGTGTGTGTGTGTGTAGTGTGTGTGTAGTGTGTGTAGTGTAGTGTGTAGTGTGTGTGGTGTGTGTGTAGTGTGTGTGTGTAGTGTGTGTAGTGTGTGTGTAGTGTGTGTGTGTAGTGTGTGTAGTGTGTGTGTAGTGTGTGTAGTGTGTGTGTGTAGTGTGTGTGTAGTGTGTGTGTAGTGTGTGTGTAGTGTGTGTGTAGTGTGTGTGTGTAGTGTGTGTGGTGTGTGTGTAGTGTGTGTAGTGTGTGTAGTGTGTGTGTAGTGCGTGTGTAGTGTGTGTGTGTAGTGTGTGTGTAGTGTAGTGTGTGTGTAGTGTGTCCGGCAAAACAACCCCCTACCTCCTCGCGGTGCCGGACGGGCAACTCTGTCGTGGACAGTGCTGTGGGGGGAGTTCCAATTTTGATTGGCTCCTCCCCTCATGGCATATGTGTCCACCACAGGGGCTAAACGGGGGCTCTGGACGGGTGCGAGGGGCTGGTAACCCCTCCACCTTCAATTAATTACCACAAAACCACGAATTAAAGTGAAATATGTAACAACTAAGCTTGTGCCGGAGGCCCCGGGGGGCCAGGCGTCTATGACGTCTCCTGGCCAAACCCCAATTGGCGGAGCCAGGAGATTGAATACCTACCCTCGGGGCTACTCCAGAAACAACGAAAAGCCACTACGGGTGGCCACGTGGAATGTTCGAACGCTCACTGCAGAGGAGAGGCTGCCACTCCTCTGTCGGGAGCTGGACCGGTACCGCCTGGATCTATGCGGCATTCAGGAGGTCCGGTGGACCGGCTCTGGCTCCTGCCACCATGAGGGGTGGACAGTCCTCTACTCGGGGCAGCAGACTGCCAAACAACAGGGTGTGGGTCTTCTTTTGAACAAAAGAATGAAGGGGGCGTGGGAGCGTGGCGGTGAGGTGTGGGAAGCTGTAAGCCCCAGGCTACTTTGGGCTCGCCTTCCCATCAACCGGAGGCGAGGAATGGTGGTCGTGGTTACTTATGCCCCCACCGAAGATGAACATCCGTGGAGGGATGCAGGCAAAGCCGATGAGTCAGATGCCTTCTATGACCTCCTGTCACAGGTGCTGGCTAAAGTGGCCACTCGGGATAGAGTCATCATGTTGGGTGACTTCAATGCCCGAGTTGGTCATGATACTGGCACCTGGTCTGGAGTGATTGGAGGGCATGGGCCAGATCAGCTCAATAACAACGGTAGGAGGCTGCTAGATTTTTGTGCAGCCCATGGGCTTGTAATTACCAACACGCTGTTCCGGCATCGGCGCATCCACACAACATCATGGATGCATGCCGGGTCCAAGCAAGAACATCTGCTGGACTACATAGTGACGGACCAGCGAATGCGAGCCCATGTCCTTGACACCAGGACCTACCGTGGAGCTGATCTGCCCTCTGACCATCGACTAGTCATCTGTAAGATGCGCCTGCCATTCTTCCACTCCGGTGGTGGGTGTACACCCAGGACCCCATTCCAACCTAAAGTGGCCTGGTCTCAGTTATCTGATGAAAGTTGCAAGCGAGAATTTCATCATCGCTTGCGGCTGGGATTGGCATCGTCCCCGACTCCTCCTGATGTCGAGGGTAAATGGGCGAGGTTTAGGACTGTGACTCATGCAGCTGCAATGGCTGCTTTGGGTACGCGGTCCAGACCTCCCCAGACACCCTGGATGACAGAGGAGTTGTTCAGGATGGTTGAGAAAAAGCGACAGGCCCACTGTCATCGGCTACAGAATCCCACGTCAGAGAATGAGGAGGCTTACCGCAGCCTTCGCTCGGAGGTTCGGAGAGCCGTGAGGCGCTGCAAGGATGGGTGGTGGTCGCGGGTTGCTGAGGAGATGGAGTCTGCCTCAGTGGCCCGTGATCACAAATCGCTATTTAACTCCATCAAAAAAGTAACCTGCAGCGCCACACCTATTACCATCATTAGGGGAAAAAACGGTGATCCAATTTCCGACCCCCAGGAACAGGTTCGCAGATTTGCTGAGCATTTCTGTGAGGTCCTGGGGGAGGGAAAATCCCACAGCCAGGAAAACATCGTGGCACAAAGTGAGGATAACCCTGCTGAGGCTGCGGTGCCTCAAATATTGGATGAAGTCACCCCCTGTGAGTGGCTGGCTGAGGTGCCATCTGCTGAGGAAGTATTGAAGGCGATCCGGAGTCTGAGACCAGGAAAGGCAGCGGGCAGAGATGATCTCCCAAGCGAAATGCTGAGGGAGGGTGGCGTTTGTGCACAGACTGCCCTATATGACATCATAACAACAGTCTGGACCACTGGACGGGTTCCGCAGGATTGGAAGGATGCCCTGGTGGTCCCCCTTTTTAAGAAGGGGGACCGCACAGACTGTAACAACTACAGGGGCATCTCACTCCTCAGTGTGCCGGGAAAGGTCCTGGCAAGGATTATTCAGCATCGCCTTGCCAGGCACGCTGAGGAGAGGCTTGCGGAGCCCCAATGCGGTTTCAGGAAAGGGCGGTCCTGCACAGATGCCATATTTTCTGTCCGTCTGCTACAGCAGAGGTGTAGGGAATTCCAACAAGACCTACATCTCTGCTTTATTGACCTGGTCAAGGCCTATGATACCATCAGTAGGCCTGGGCTCTGGGTCGTTCTTCGTGCTTTTGGGGTACCTGACCCTCTGCTCACGATCATTAAGGACCTTCATGATGGTGAGCGGGCCCGGGTAAAACTACGTGGCCGGGAGTCAGAGCCATTCCCTGTACACCTTGGGGTGCGACAGGGATGTCCTCTGGCTCCCACATTATTTAACATCTATTTTGACCACGTAGTTCGTGAAGCCTTCAATAGCTGTACCGGGGGAATCTCCATATGGTACAGATATAATGGGAGGCTAATCGATGCCCGGGTGCGGTCAAGGGATGGCTCCCTATTGCTCAACCACGTTATGTATGCTGATGACTTGGTAATAGCTGCTCAGTCAGAGGAGGAGTTGGAGACGCTGCTGCTGAGACTGGAGCGTGCCACTAAGAGGTGGGGCCTTACCATCAGCCCCACCAAAACTAAGCACCTGCCTGGGTATTTTGTACCATCGGACACTCCACCCCCACAACTCCCAATCGGTGATGGGGCAGTTGTGGAGAGAGTGGAGAGTTTCCCATACCTGGGCAGTGTGCTTATGACTGGCTCCAGTTTAACAGCAGAGGTCTCACTCCGAATCAGTCGAGCGGCAATATCTTTTCATCGGTTGCGTAACGCTGTGTGGAAGCTACCTGGTCTGTCGCTCCGCACTAAGCTTCAGGTCTTCTCGGCCACGGTCATTCCCTCCCTTCTCTACGCTTGCGAAACGTGGACCCCCCTAATGGAACATCTTCGCCGGTTAGAAACATTTAGGCTGACCTGCCTACGATCCATCCTGGGTTTAACCAGACTGGATTGTGTGAGGAGCTCACAAATCCTTGAAAGATCTGGGCAGGGTCCCATCGGTGAGCTCCTCCGGCAGGCAAGGCTGCGATGGCTGGGTCATGTAGCCCGCATGCCCAGCCACCGCATGCCGAAACAGCTTTTGTTTGGCCGGATTGAGGGGGCTAAGCGGGCGCGGCACGGGCTAGAGAAGAGATGGAGTGATGTGGTACAGGAGGACGTGGAGCTGAGTGGACTTGCCGATGACTGGTACCAGCGGTGTCAAGATCGGCCTCTGTGGAGGAGGCTCGTGAAGGATGCTACTGGGCAGTTGGAGGCAGTCGCCCTCCAACAACAACGGAGGGCGGAGGAGCGACGCTCACAACAGCGAGCGGAGCGCCGGGTGGCTAAAGCACAGCGGGTTGGCACAGTAGGGGGCACAGGTGGTGCATCAGCCAGTCATCTCAGTCAGTCGACCCGTGGCACCTGGGTCTGCCCCGTGACCTCCTGCCAGCGGGCGTTCGACACTTCACGTGGCCTCAGGGTGCACATAGCCTGGCACAAGCGTCGTGGTGACGTCACCGCCACTTAGTGGCGAATGGCGGTTGTTGTTGTTGTTGTTGTGTAGTGTGTGTGGTGTGTGTGTAGTGTGTGTGTAGTGTGTGTGTAGTGTGTGTGTGTAGTGTGTGTGTAGTGTGTGTGTGTAGTGTGTGTAGTGTGTGTGTAGTGTGTGTGTAGTGTGTGTAGTGTGTGTGTAGTGTGTGTGTAGTGTGTGGTGTAGTGTGTGTAGTGTGTGTGGTGTGTGTGTAGTGTGTGTGTGTAGTGTGTGTGTGTAGTGTGTGTGTAGTGTGTGTGTAGTGTGTGTGTAGTGTGTGTAGTGTGTGTGTAGCGTGTGTAGTGTGTGTGTAGCGTGTAGTGTGTGTAGTGTGTGTAGTGTGTGTAGTGTGTGTAGTGTGTGTGTAGTGTGTGTGTAGTGTGTGTGTAGTGTGTGTGTGTAGTGTGTGTGTAGTGTGTGTGTAGTGTGTGTGTAGTGTGTGTGTAGTGTGTGTGTAGTGTGTGTAGTGTGTGTGTAGTGTGTGTAGTGTGTGTGTAGTGTGTGTAGTGTGTGTGTAGTGTGTGTGTAGTGTGTGTAGTGTGTGTGTAGTGTGTGTGTAGTGTGTGTAGCGTGTGTGTGTAGTGTGTGTGTAGTGTGTGTAGTGTGTGTGTAGTGTGTGTAGTGTGTGTGTGTAGTGTGTGTGTAGTGTGTGTGTGTAGTGTGTGTGTAGTGTGTGTGTAGTGTGTGTGTAGTGTGTGTGTGGTGTGTGTGTAGCGTGTAGTGTGTGTGTAGTGTGTGTGTAGTGTGTGTGTAGTGTGTGTGTAGTGTGTGTGTAGTGTGTGTGTGGTGTACCTCGATGACGTTCCCGTCAGGAAGGGTGTACTGAGCTTTCTCCATCTCCAGAGATTCATCTTTTTGGGGATTGATGGACATATAACAGGCACGCTAGAGACACACACACACAGAGACACACACAGACACACACACAGAGACACACACAGACACACACACAGAGACACACAGGGACACACACACATAGACACACACACAGAGACACACACACAGAGACACACACACAGAGACACACACACAGAGACACACACACACAGAGACACACACAGAGACCCGCACACAGAGACACACACACAGAGACACACACACAGAGACACGCATACAGAGATACACACACAGAGACACACAGAGACACTCACACACAGAGACACTCACACACATAGAGACACACACACACAGAGACACACACAGAGACACACAGAGACACACACACACAGAGACACACAGGGACACTCACACACAGAGACACTCACACACACAGAGACACACACACAGAGACACACAGAGACACACACAGGGACACACACACATAGACACACACACAGAGACACACACAGAGACACACACACAGAGACACACACACAGAGACACACACAGAGACACACACACAGGGACACGTGCGGAGAGAGACACGGGGGGTAAAGTACCCACCCACTCACCCACCCACTCACCCACCCACTCACTCACTCACCCACCCACTCACCCACTCACCCACTCACCCACCCACTCACTCACCCACCCACTCACTCACCCACTCACCCACCAACCCACCAACCCACCCACTCACCCACTCACTCACCCACCCACCCACTCACTCACCCACTCACCCACTCACACACACACTCATACACTCATACACTCACACACTCACCCACTCACACACTCACCCACTCACCCACTCACTCATTCACTCACACACTCATTCACTCATACACTCACTCACTCATACACTCACTGATACACTCATACACTCACTCACACACTCATACACTCACTCACTCAATCACTCATACACTCATACACTCACTCACTCATACACTCACTCACTCACCCACTCACTCACTCATACACTCATCCACTCACTCACCCACTCACTCACTCACCCACTCATTCACTCATTAACCCACCCACTCACTCAATCACTCACTCACCCACTCATACACTCATACACCCAACCACTCACTCACACACTCACTCATTCACTCACCCACTCCCTCACTCACTCACTCACCCACCCACTCATACACTCATACACTCACCCACTCACTCACTCATACACTCATACACTCACTCACTCACCCACTCATACACTCACCCACTCACTCACTCACCCACTCACCCACTCACTCCCGCACTCACCCACCCACTTACCCACTCACTCATTCACTCACTCACTTACTCACTCATACACTCATACACTCACTCACTCATCCACTCACTCTCCCACTCGCCCACCCACCCACGCACTCACTCACCCACTCCCCCATTCACTCCCCCACCCACCCACTCCCCCGCCCACCTCCTTGATGGTCCTCACGACCTCCAGCTCGGCGCTGGTGTGCAGGTCGTGCCCCTCCTTGCGCAGGAGCAGGCGCAGGAAGCGCGTGACGTCACGTCCGGCCACGTCCACCACTCACTCACTCACTCACTCGCTTACACACTCACTCATACACTCACCCACTCACTCACCCACTCACTCACCCACTCACACACTCACTCATACACTCATACACTCACTCACTCACTCATACACTCACTCACTCCCCCACCCATCCACCCACCCACCCACTCACCCACCCACCCACCCACTCACCCACCCACCCACTCACCCACCCACCCACTCACCCACCCACCCACCCACTCACTCACCCACTCACCCACTCACTCCCCCACCCACCCACTCACTCCCCCATTCACCCACTCCCCCGCCCACCTCCTTGATGGTCCTCACGACCTCCAGCTCGGCGCTGGTGTGCAGGTCGTGCCCCTCCTTGCGCAGGAGCAGGCGCAGGAAGCGCGTGACGTCACGTCCGGCCACGTCCGAGCGACACACGGAGTGGGGCAGGGCGAAGCCGGCGTAGATGGGGACCGAGTGGGTGACTCCGTCGCCGCAGTCCAATACCACACCTGTCGTGCGTCCAGTGGCATAGCTTGGGGGGGGGGAGGGGGAGGGGGAGGGGGAGGGGGGAGGGGGGAGGGGGGAGGGGGGAGGGGGGAGGGGGGAGGGGGGGAGGGGAGGGAGGGGGAGGGAGGATCCATGGCGGGTTTCTGATACGGTCGATGAATCTGATTTGAACGGAATTCGTGCGGCGGAGCTGGTAGGTTGGGTGAGGTGTGGTGGTGCGTGGGGGGATGTGTGAGTGTGTTAGTGTGTGTTAGTGTGTGTTAGTGTGTGTGTTAGTGTGTGTGTGTGTTAGTGTGTGTGTGTTAGTGTGTGTGTGTGTGTGTTAGTGTGTGTGTGTTAGTGTGTGTGTGTGTTAGTGTGTGTGTGTGTTAGTGTGTGTGTGTGTTAGTGTGTGTGTGTGTTAGTGTGTGTGTTAGTGTGTGTGTTAGTGTGTGTGTCAGTGTGTGTTAGTGTGTGTGTGTTAGTGTGTGTGTGTGTTAGTGTGTGTGTGTTAGTGTGTGTGTGTTAGTGTGTGTGTGTGTTAGTGTGTGTGTGTGTTAGTGTGTGTGTGTTAGTGTGTGTTAGTGTGTGTGTGTTAGTGTGTGTGTGTTAGTGTGTGTGTGTGTGTGTTAGTGTGTGTGTCAGTGTGTGTTAGTGTGTGTGTGTGTGTTAGTGTGTGTGTGTTAGTGTGTGTGTTTGTGTGTTTGTGTGTTTTGTTAGTGTGTGTGTTAGTGTGTGTGTTAGTGTGTGTTAGTGTGTGTGTGTGTGTTAGTGTGTGTGTTAGTGTGTTAGTGTGTGTCAGTGTGTGTTAGTGTGTGTGTGTGTTAGTGTGTGTGTTAGTGTGTTAGTGTGTGTGTTAGTGTGTGTTAGTGTGTGTGTGTGTTAGTGTGTGTGTGTGTGTTAGTGTGTGTGTGTTAGTGTGTGTGTGTGTTAGTGTGTGTGTGTGTGTTAGTGTGTGTGTTAGTGTGTGTGTTAGTGTGTGTGTCAGTGTGTGTTAGTGTGTGTGTGTTAGTGTGTGTGTGTGTTAGTGTGTGTGTGTTAGTGTGTGTGTGTTAGTGTGTGTGTGTGTTAGTGTGTGTGTCAAGGCCTATGATACCATCAGTAGGCCTGGGCTCTGGGTCGTTCTTCGTGCTTTTGGAGTACCTGACCCTCTGCTCACGATCATTAAGGACCTTCATGATGGTGAGCGGGCCCGGGTAAAACTACGTGGCCGGGAGTCAGAGCCATTCCCTGTACACCTTGGGGTGCGACAGGGATGTCCTCTGGCTCCCACATTATTTAACATCTATTTTGACCACGTAGTTCGTGAAGCCTTCAATAGCTGTACCGGGGGAATCTCCATATGGTACAGATATAATGGGAGGCTAATCGATGCCCGGGTGCGGTCAAGGGATGGCTCCCTATTGCTCAACCACGTTATGTATGCTGATGACTTGGTAATAGCTGCTCAGTCAGAGGAGGAGTTGGAGACGCTGCTGCTGAGACTGGAGCGTGCCACTAAGAGGTGGGGCCTTACCATCAGCCCCACCAAAACTAAGCACCTGCCTGGGTATTTTGTACCATCGGACACTCCACCCCCACAACTCCCAATCGGTGATGGGGCAGTTGTGGAGAGA